GTGTTGCAATGAAGCACGTCTCATTTTCGCTTGCGCACGTTACAGCTGAAGCACGAGACAGTTTCTTTTTATCTCTCTCTCTCTCTCTCTTTCTTTTTGACGCTGGAAGTAGCGGGGCTGGGATGCTTAAGCTGCCACTCATTTGTACCGCTACATTGCATTGCCTTGTGGCTTTTAAAAGCCGTAGTTTCCGCAGGTTTTCATCTTTTTATCTCTCTCTCTCTTTCTTTTTGACGCTGGAAGTAGCGGGGCTGGGATGCTTAAGCTGCCACTCATTTGTACTGCTACGTTGCATTGCCTTGTGGCTTTTAAGGGCCGTAGTTTCCGCAGGTTTTCAGCAAGAACAGGATTATTTGCCCTTATTTTTTTTTTTCAGTATCAAAACAAGAACCCAAAAACTAACAAACAAAAGAACATCGCAAAAAACAAGAGGAGGTGGGGGGTGGGTTCTCATTTGCAAGCGCCAACATCAGCGTTGCGGTCTTATAGTGGCTTAGAGTGGCCGAACACACGAAGGTAACGTTTCCCACAAAGGTGAGAGTTTCAAAGGATCAACACAACTAGCAGAATCTTTTTTTTTTTTTTTTCAAAACAACTCGCGCATGTCTTCCTGGAACACACGTGAATGGACGGGACGGCGCAGCTGGCTGCCGCAAAAGTGTGGGTGAAAGCTTTGATCACTAATAGATTCTTTTGACAGGAACGCCAAAACGTGCCTGACCCCTTTTAATTGTGATCGAAATTGTATGGACCGTCCAGGCTGGTTTTTCGCTGTTGCCGCTTTCATTCACTGTATATATATATGCGCGTGTGTGTATATATATATTGGGAGTAATCATTCAATGGGCCAGTTAGTCTTAGTGAAGGTATGGAGTATGGCACAATGGGGGCGTTGTCAACAAGGCGAGAGGGACGCGGCAGCAAAGAAGTTTAGAAGTTCATGTCAGTATAACTCATCCTCTGATGAAGGGAGGACCCCTCCAGAAACTGTTGGGAAATAAATATATTTATCCTTGTTGACAATGCTCCCATTATGCCATATCCCATATATATATATATATATATATATATATATATATATATATATGGTATCCTGCCCACGGCAAATTATCTTTTCACCCACTTTTTTTCATATTTACTTTAAATTTGGTCTAATATCTTCCCCTATACTTTCCTTATTGTCTGTTAGATCTCATTATTATTGCGTAAAACACGAAAAAAGGAGCCCTTAGGTATACACTTCTTTCCTTATATATGTGTGACGCGACAAAATGGAGACACGTCGTGGTCGAGTGCCATGCGTTTATTCTAATGCACGCGCACTTCCTCTTCGTCGGCTTCTCCTAGAATCACCTTGTTATTGCTTCAAACTTCCCCCTCCCCTCAAGAACGTCTCAGTTCAGAAGGTTCAAAATAACGCCGCAGTTTGCTAACATGCACAATGTCAGAGTTTCTGTGTAAGGGTAGCACGGAGCGGTTGGTTGATCTCATAGTTCACTGTTGAGACCTTGCGTAGAATCTTGTAGGGTCCTTCCACGACGAAACTCAGTTAGCCGTTGTTGGGATGCCATGGTGTCTCGTAAACGACAAAGTCACCGACTTGGAACTCAATCGGAAGAAATTTTCTATCATAAATGACTGTTCTTATTGTGGTAGGCGATAGAATTGGTAACTGCAGTTTTTCGCGCTTCTTCGACGGTTTCTTCTCGTTCTTCCAGTACAGTAGGATAAGATGGAATTCCATACATCAGGAAGGAAGGTGCGTAGCCGGTCACTTCGTGGGGTGTTCTGTTGTATTCGACAATTACCTCCGAAAGCAGCTTAGTCTAAGACTTCTGTGGTTCGTCATTGATATTTAAGTCTCGTTACGACAGCCTGGTGCATTAGAATAAACGCATGGCATCTCGACCACGACGTGTCTCCATTTTGTAGCGTCACACAAGTCGACAGGATCGACCTCATCAACGTGCCATGGCTATGCCAAAGCCTCCGCTCAACATACAGAAGTTCAAGGCAACACCAGAAGACGTCCCCATCGAAGTGGCTTCTTCTTTTCAACATGAAGGCAGCCGAAGCGTCATGGACTCACCGCGATCGGGTCAGTCACTTCAACGAATACATTGAAGGGGAAGCGTTCAAGTGGTAGCTGACAGAGATTTTCGGCAACGGCGAGGCAACTTGGGACGATATCAAGCGTGACATGCAAGCCCGCTTTGCTATGACTGAAGGAGATGCCTTCCGTCTCTTCATTCACTACCGACTGAAAGGAGGGCAGACCATCAAGGACTACTATGACGAGAAAAAGCGACTGGGTTCCTTGGCTGATCTGAAAGAGTGCCACATCATTTCTGGACTGACTGATGGTGTTCCTCCTGATGTGGAACTGGCGCTCGCCGGACTGTCTTTCAACTCGTCATTAGAGTGGCTCACCGCTGCTCAACGGGTCGAGATGCCATGCGTTTTACTTTAATGCACGCGCACTTCCTCTTCGTCGGCTTCTCCTAGAATCACCTTGTTAATGCGTCACACACACACACACACGCACACACACACATATATAAGAGAAACAAGTGTATACTTAATGGCTCGTTTTTCGTGTTTTACACAATATTAATGACATGCACACACACACATATATAAGAGAAACAAGTGTATACTTAAGGGCTCGTTTTTCGTGTTTTACACAATATTAATGACATCTAACAGACAATAATGCCAAGGAAGGTATAGGGGAAGTTATCATATCAGGCCAATTGTAATTTAAGTAAGAAGAAAGAAAAGTGGGTGAAAAGATAACTTGCCGTGGGCAGGATTCGAACCTGCGACCTTCGAATAACGTGTTCGATGCTCTACCACTTGAGCTACCACGACAGCTATCCCCCCAGCCACTTTATTGGGTATCTATGTCCATTTTAAATGTGGGAGTGTCATTCAGCGCCACTAGTAGCCATGGCGGCGAGTGTGGCACACTCTTTATGAGCCTGTTTGGCGTCACGTAGCACGTGAACTAATTACTAACTGGCAGCTGACCAATAGTCCCTCATAAACAACCTAAAGGCACAAAGTCTGCCAGTACGAGACCCTCGTTAATGAATAAGGGAAACAAGTGTATACTTAAGGGCTCGTTTTTCGTGTTTTACACAATATTAATGAGATTAACAGACAATAATGCCCAGGAAATTATAGGGGAAGTTATTAGGCCAATTGTAATGTAAATGAGAAGAAAGAAAAGTGGGTGAAAAGATAACTTGCCGTGGGCAGGACCCGCACTCCGCGCCTAGCTTGTCGCGATGCCCCGACACGCACTTATCTCTCACGCCTGGTATGCCCCGCAAGCGGGGGGGGGGGGGGGGGGGGTGTAGACGTTTGTGTGCCCGCGCTTATTTTTTGGTGGGGAGAATTGTATGCCTTCGGCTTTCAGTGGAACGATTGGGTTAGTTGCCGAGCACACAAAGGTCAATTCGGTCTCTACACAGGTCCCCTTTGCAAAAAGAGCGCAATTTTCATAGACAGCGAGGTAAAACAAGGACACTTGTTAGTTTGTACTCATCTGTACTTGTGAATATGTATCGTGCATCCTTTTTCTCTAAGCAGCGCGTTGCGTGTCGAGCGGTAAACGTTGTTAGTTTGCTCTCGTCCTGTGTGTATCGTTTTGCGCGTTATTTGTGAGAGAGCAGCGCCCCGCATGTTTCGATCCGCTTGCCGTTCCCAGCGTGACCCTCCAAGGTGTTGCTGTCAGATCCATTGCTTCACCCTTACGGCGAAACAGTCACTTTTTTTAACATATTTATGGCCTTTGATCTATCACTACGTGCGCGGAGCTCGTAGATCGCTATCGCGTCGCCGCGGCCGCATTTCTATGCGCGGTGGTAGCAGAAAACGATAGTTCCTTTTACAATCCACATGTGCTCTGCTGCGCAAGCGTCTTTAAAACTATGTCGTTTTACGCCATCTACGATCGCATCTGCCGCAGTTTTGTCTGCAGAGTATGCGGAAAGCAGCGTTGCTTTGAACGGTCGAGCGCACCCTTTCGGGGCTCTGTCAGTTACGTTGTCGCCATACATGATCGCGTCAAGAGCGACCGCAGTTTCGTCCAGAGCTGTTGTGGCAACGATGATCACACGCCCTGTAGAAGACAGTGCGTGCGCTGGTCGCAGGCGTACTTGTGAAGCTTCGAGTGCGCAGCTTGCGGCCTTTGTTTGACAGTTTACATCCTAAAGTCCATATCACTTGCCATGACTAGGAAATGTGTTCGAAACATTCGAATATAGGCCCAATGGACAGTGAAATTTGGCTGGGGAATTTCATGAATTCGTAACTGCTGCGGTTTAGCATCGCTGAGATTCTACTGTACGTTTAGATTAACACCTCTTAATGTCCCGGCCAATCCGCGTGACATGGCAGGTATGAATTTCTTAGAATCATCAGCCCCTTCCGATTAGTTTATTGAGGTTCTCAATACAGGCGATATCAAATTTTAGACATGATAACTGCACCCCTCACGTTTCGTCTTGATGGAGCTATCAGAAGTACCAAAAAACACAACGCCCAAGCTCAAGAAGTTGCCCTAAAATTGATCTTGAAAAAACCGCATTTCAAAGATATAACTGAAAGCTAATCTGTGCAGAAAAGATAATTTCCTAAGATGATTCCTTCCATCATGACAGCTTGGCAATCATGGCTATTTTGAGCAAGTAGCTTTAGCGAACTCATGCGAAATGCATTGGCACGCAGCCAGGTGACGATTTCCAGGGGACTATAGACAAGGTTTCCCAAGTTGTTGTTAGACACTTGATGCTTTTCAAAAGGAACTTAACTTAATGCATGTTTAATTACAATCTTCACTTGTTTTCTCGTGAAAGCAGAGAAGCTAAATTTGCAAAAGCAAATAAAAGCGAAAAGTATGTAATTTTTGGTAAAAAACTTGCATCTCTCCTTAAAGTACATTTAGTGCATATATATGTCACAATTCCCACCAGGTACATAATAACGCAACTCACCTGTACGCAACAGAGGCCACCTCTCCCTCCTCGTCATCTTGGATAAATGGGTTGACGTTCTCAAAGCTGTGCTTATCTTCTCCCTAAAAGAAACATTGAGGCACAGCCCGAGACAACAGTTTTAGAAAGTGGCCGGCCCTCTACCACACAAGCGCAGCTACAGCTAAATTATATGGTAGCACAAATACACAAATAAATTAAAACCAAGTTTGCGAGAATATTCGAGAACTTCAAACGGTGATGTGATTGGCTGAGGCCATGTTAGAGCAGGTTTTTGGAGCAGGAAAAAGGGCTTTAGGAGCAGCTAGAAGTTCACTTTAGAGAAGAGGAAAAGGTTTTCGGAGCCACTAAAGGTGTACTTTGGAGCAGGGGTGGAAGAAAGAAAAAAAGGCTTTGTGAGCAACCAAGAGCGTAAACTAAAGCAGGGAATAAGACTGTTGGAGACGCTTAGAGTCAATGCGCAGTGAACAAACGGAATTCGCGACGACTGAAAGAGCTGAATAAAGCCTAACTAAGAAGCGTTCCATAACATTCTGTATACGTACAGCTCAGACTACTCAAAGCGTAACCGTGTACATTGCAGGACCAGCTATAAAGCAGACTTTTCTTACTACCGTTTATCATCCCATAAAACTCCACGTATACGCGTATCGCTTGCACAGCCTCCGATATGAAAGATCAGTTGCGATGCGGCCCAGATAAGTGAGTTAATGACTTCGCTTTTCAGCTAAGATACACTGGCAAGGTGGAGACGAAGGCGCTACGAAGGAGGAGAGGACGCAAAAAAAATCAAGGAACCAAGAGAGCTAGAAAAGAAAGGAAGAAATTTAAAGGCAGAAAGTTGGCCGTTCAAAATTTAAGTAACAGTTGACCTTGGGTGCTTAACGTGTTCTCTTGGCTCTTTGCTTGGCATAGACAGAGTCGAACCACAGCCTGTCACAGATCATGCAGAAAAAGTGTTGTGTCACTAGTTTGTGTTTCTGTGTAGTCTAGTCACATTGGAGGTGCTGTTGTATTTTGTATCCAGTTGAACCTCTTTATGCTCTAGGCAGCGATTCTTGTCTTTCTTATGATATGTTTTTTATAAGCAGGGTACCACGTATGCATTTTTTCATCAACCCATATTTTACTCTAGGCACACTGGTGTCTCCTATACTAGTACCTCATTTTTTTTATTCAAAGATACCTCACAGGCTGAGGCATAGTGAAAGGGGGCAGTACAAAGGTTTAATTTCAGTATCGTTGACAAAATATAAATACGTGAACAGGTTTCATGAACCAAATAACAAAGTGCAGTGCAATAGAAAGTACTTACGGCTACTACTGGTAAAAAAATCACAAAACAATCACAGGAGGCATTATCTATAAAGTAATGTAGTCAAGCAAACTTCACATTTTATACAATTAACTGGTCGACATATGAAGAAAAAAAAAGAAAAAAAAGTCAGTACGATGTTATAAAATGGCGAATTAAAAAAATAAGTAAGAGGATTACGATACAACAGAGGGCATACAGATGTCATGCCAGATTTCTTTGCGCTTCCTTGGCCAGATAACTGGTCAATGTGTCACAGAATGTATTAGTGTTTTCTAGACATGCTGGCAAAAAGTTTCAACATCAGACAGCACGTGGAAGTGCTGACCTATCGAATGCATGTGTTGATCCGTAAATGCACGAAAAGCCAGGATGATTATGATGCCTGTATGTCGTAGACTAGGGCGGCGTCAAGCATGCCAGTGTTCGAGATGAGTGTATGAATTTGTGAAACAGTGTCAGCAACGCAATGTCCCGGTGAGTAATCAAAGGTTTCAATTTCAATGGAAGGTTAAGTTTGATTTGTGTCACACTTGACTGATACTTGCAATTGTTAGAAATGAAGCGTCTTGTCCTGTTTTGAACTTATTCAAATATGTCGAGGTATTTCTGGGGAGAGGACCAAATAGGGAAGGCGTACTCGAGGGCGAATAACAGTGAGGTATGCCCACTTACGAACATTCGGAAGAGCATTTCTTAGATTTCGACGCAAGTACCCCAAGGATCGGGAAGCTTTGGCTAAAACGGAAGTTATGTGGCCTGACCAAGAAAGATTTGAAGTGAACGTAACTACTAGATATTTATATTGTGTAGCAATTGTAAGAGTGTCTTTATTGATACGGTATGAATCCAGTGAAAGTGTAGCTTTCTCAGTGAATGACATAGTGAATGCATTTTCACGTGTTCAATGTCATTAACCATTTAAAGCACCACTTAGTAATTTGTTGTTTTAGGTCGCATTGAAGAACCAGATGATCATCTGTGTTTTCTATAGGGCGATAGACTATGCACGTGTCGGCAAATATTTTCATTGTAGAGGACACATTATGTGGGAGATAGTTGATAAATGCGAGAAAAAGTAAAGGACCGAGGACGCTGCCTTGTGGTACACCAGACGATACTTTATTTGAGGAGGCCGAAAAGTTATTTACAATAGTGAATTGGTGATGATTAGAAAGAAAATTCTGGAGCCATGATGAAGTGAGACTGTCCAATTTAAGAGCTGAAAGTTTTAAAATAAGGTGACAGTGAGTGATGAAGTGAGACTGTCCAATTTAAGAGCTGAAAGTTTTAAAATAAGGTGACAGTGAGAGATGCGGTCGAACGCCTTCGAAAAGTGAAGAAAGAACAATCAGCTTGTAGGTTCTTATACTTAGAAATTTTGGCGCAACCTCGACTCACGCAAACACTCACACAAGCACACACACTTACACCAGAGCAACACACACGACACGCAGTCGACACGCGTGTCGACACGCGTGTCGCAGTCGCGTGTCGCACGACACGCAGTCGACACGCGTGTCGTGTGTGTTGCTCTGGTGTAAGTGTGTGTGCTCTGGTGTAAGTGTGTGTGCTTGTGTGAGTGTTTGCGTGAGTCGAGGTTGCGCCAAAATTTCTAAGTATATGATGTATAACCAACTAGCCCAACAACAAGTTGTAGGTTCTTGTTCAAGTTTGTGCATAAGGCTGTGGTAAATCCAAGCAAGTGTATTTTGCACGACAAGCCCCTTCTAAAACCATGCAGATTATGGCAAAAGAATTCGTTAGTCTCAACGTCTGTAAATCTGCGAGGTGATAATGTGTTCGAGTAGCTTACAAAAAATGCATGTCAAGGAGATTGGACGGTAATTTTTGCAGGATGATTTATTGCCATTTTTAAATACCAGTATAATTTTTGCAATTTTCCAGTCTATAGGGAGGAGGCCAGTTGCGAGTGACTGTTTAAATACGTGAAGAACAATTTCACTTGACACTGTGACTGTATTTCGTGAGATATTTGAGTTTATACCATCTATGCCACATGAAGATGACATCTTAAGGTTATTTATGAGTGATGATATTCCTTCCAATGAGATTTCTATGTGTTCCATGTAGTGGTAGCTGAGATCAGGAAGGAATATAAGGTAGGCTTGTGTCTTTTTTGTGAATACTACTGAACTGAAGAATGAATAAAAATCTGATGAACATTTACTACCTAGGAAGGGAACATTGCTGCTGACATGCATCATTAGATTCATCAGTAGGACTTTATAGCACTTAGCTGGATTGTTTTTAAGTAATTCAGGAAGGCCGTTAGAGAAATATTTGTCCTTGGCCTGTCCTGAGGGTTCAAGATACCTTTTGTAAATCTTCTATGACGATAATGTTCAAAGGCTTTTAGCCGTTATTTCCTGTTCGTCATGCGTTTCGGCTTTTTTGTAAACCAGGCATTTAATTTATGGTTCGTTATTGCAACTAGTACAACATACCGATTCGCAGAGAGTATTTTTAAATAACAATCAGTTTTCACCCGCAAATCTGTTGTAAAACGATGGCCACATTATGTTTTCGAAAAATGTTCTTAGTTCAGTGTTTGTTGCGATAAAGTTACCTTTCTTCTAGTCACGATTTTGCTTTGCTGTCAAACATGTCGTGGGCCATGTTACGTTTATTGTCACTTGAAGGAGATCGTGATCGCTAAAACCATCAAGCTGTTCCATATGACCAATGGTTTCAGGAGCGTTTGTGAGAAGAAGGTCGAGAACAGGGGTACCACGTGTAGGTTTAGAAACAGTTTGGAATAGATTGAGATTTAAACACAAGTTGATGAATCCGGTTGATGTCCGACAGGATAATACTAGTTTCACCAAATCAATATGTGGATAATTAAAATCACCCAAAATATAAGTTAGTGCAGCATAAAAGTGTTTCGATGCTTTGTTTTTTTTTTAATTAAATGTATTTAAGGAGAGTTTGGTGCCAATGCGTGGCGCCTGCTACTCCTCCCGGTGCTTTGTTAATGCTGTTGTATAGCAAAAGCCTATCAATAAATCAGAGGACAAAATCATGCAGGCCACCCAGATGATCTCAAGGTGAGAATTTGTGCCAATCACAATTCTTATGAATGCGTTCGACAACAAAACAACAATTGTTTTGTTGCTTGTTCGCTCTCTTCGTGACCTCAGGCCACAGCACCACATTGGTAATCATTTTTAACCCTTACCCATCCGTTGTAGAGCATCCCCAGACAACCCAACACGGCCATAGTGATCCACTGTCGGGCACAGCGCGACAAGAGTGTCTGTGTTTTAAATTTCACGGTTTGCTCACTTCAAGTCGCTTTAATACATGAAGCTCCATCTCGAGAAATACGCCAGCTTTGATTTTTGATGTTAACGTTTTTTTTTTTTTTTTTTTCACAATGTTCATCAAGGAGCGTACCCACTCACACTGAGAAGCATGGCCAATTTTCACCGCATGCATTTTAAGGTGATGCTTTTAGTGGAAGCGAGGATCCCTTTAGTTAGGAGGAAGAGAATTGCGTTCCTCACCCAGACAGTGACACGACAGAAGTGACAATGGTGGTGAAGACAACAGCTCAGTTTTTCTGCAAAACTAACAGCCCTGGCCTGCACCCAGCAGAATACTTTGAGCGGTATCATACGCTGGCCATAAGAGTTGCTTGTAGGATGCAGAAGCAAAAATAAATATACTGCGAGTTTTTCTGCTACAGTTTCTGTTTTTTTTCTTTGCAGCACCAGAAACTGGAAGAATAGTTTTGGACCGGTA